CCACACTTAAATAAATATACCACAACCTAAACATGCTTCAACCAAACTACCCCATACCCATCAAAAGACACAACCAAAGGATCCCATTCCCACCAAAAGTTACAAACGAACGACCTCCTAACCACCAAAAGATACAGTTAAGTGACCCCCGCCCCATGTCCACAACCCCACTACCTCACCAGCCGCTGAGAGACACCCCCCCCCCCCCCTATTCTCAACAAACCGTCAAGAAATCACGTCCCTTGCTTGGCCTGACCCACGGGATATTTCTGTCATAGAGCGGCCCAACATTTCCGAGACTGTAAAGGCATCATAATTAAGGTCTCTATTGATTTTGCCCCCCTTCATCTTGTCGGGGTGCCAAAAAATATTTTTAAAAATGGCATAAAAATAGCGCATTTTCAGATTTGACATAACAATCAAAACACTATAAAATGTTAAAATGTGTATTTTAAAGTGTTGAATGGATGAACATTAATAAAAACCAAAAACAAATACAATGTGTTCACAATGCGAAACATTTTTGGAGAAGGTAACAAGAAAAAACATTTTTAGGAATCATGTGGAAATTATTTTTTCAGGCAAATTTTAAATGCGCCACTGTCATGCTTATATCTTATGCCCATCCTACTTCTCTTAAATGCCCCACGCTCATATGATGATATAAAATGTCCCACTCTCATTCCGATCATAAATGCCTTACTGTCGCATTTACTAAATGTCCCACGCTTTCTGGCAAATGTTTTTGCCCCCCCCCCCCACCCCCACTCTAAATCTGATACTGAATGCCCCCTCTCAGATATGTATTATATACCTCCGATATCTCAACATATATTTAATGCCCTCCTCCCACTCTTATTTTGAAACGAAATGCCCCACTCTCTTGTGCAGATAGTCTATGCCCTCTCCCACTCTAAATCTGATACTAAATACCACCACTCAGGTATTTATTAACTCTCTCTCAACCGAGATTTAATGCCCCAAACTTTCAGGCAGATATTTAATGCCCCACTCTCTTATGCAGATAGTCTATGCCCTCTCCCACTCTAAATCTGATACTAAATACCACCACTCAGGTATTTAATAACTCTCTCTCAACCGAGATTTAATGCCCCAAACTTTCAGGCAGATATTTAATGCCCCACTCTATTAGGTAGGTATTCAATGCCCTCTCCCACTCTATATGTGATACTAAATGCCCCAACTCAGGCATTATTAAATACCTCCGATCTCTCTCAACCGAGATTTGATGCCCCAAACTTTCAGGCAGATATCCAATGCCCTCTCCCATTCTAAATCTGATACCAAATGCCCCCACTCAGATATTTATTAACTCTCTCTCTCTCAACCGAGATTTAATGCCCCCAACTTTCAGGCAGATATTTAATGCCCCACACTATTTGGTAGATATTCAATGCCCTCTCCCACTCTATATCGGATACTAAATACCACCACTCAGGTATTTAATAACTCTCTCTCAACCGAGATTTAATGCCCCAAACTTTCAGGCAGAAATTTAATGCCCCACTCTATTAGGTAGGTATTCAATGCCCTCTCCCACTCTATATGTGATACTAAATGCCCCAACACAGGCATTTATTAAATACCTCCGATCTCTCTCAACCGAGATTTAATGCCCCCAACAACTTTCAGGCAGATATTAAACGCCCTCCCACCCCAGGCACAAATTAAATACCTCCGCTCTCCAGAACCCAATCGATATCGATTATGTTTTAGTATACACACAGCGGCTGACCTAAAGAACCAATATTTACTGCAGTAAGGTTGGCCGGAAATTGCCTCCGATAAATCCCCCACACTGCTCTCACGTGTTGATTCGGGCGTGTCGACCCCCACCCTCCCCACCCGCACACTTCTCCTACCTCGGCCTGGAAACTCAGCGAGTAGTGAAACAAATTTTCAACCTAAAGACTCTGTTGTTGTTGTTTTTTTTTGTTTTTTTTTGTTGCTGTCGCCTTTGTGTGGTTGTTTTGTTTTGTTTTGTTTTTATTTTATTTTTATTTTTTTTAAGACTGAATCGATTAATTTTTTTATGACTGTTAGCTCTCTATTGTGTTAAACGTCGAACGAACGTGTTGTTTGTTTCATTGAATAGTTTCGATTAGTTTTTGTTTTGTTGGTTTAAAAAAAACAACATTTACGTGATTAAATATGCATGGTAAACAATTTTTAAGCGGTTTCTCAAGCATTAGATTGATTTGGTCTTTTTTTTTTATTTAAGCTGGTGAGCAGTTCTTTAAATGACAATAGATGTCAGGAATGCGGATTAGTCAAGGTTTTGTTCCAGATAGTAAATCTTCAAGATTACAGCTTTTTGTTTTTTACTTTCTCGTATATACGTAGTATAGAGAAAGTATTGTAAACGTGCAAAAAAAAAAAATCGAGATTTTTACAAATCTCGACGTTTTACACCTCACTGATACGGAAAAACATAATTTTGCAATCTTGTCCGTATGTCTGTGTGTGTGTGTGTGTGTGTGTGTCTGTGTGTCTGTGTGTCTGTCCGTGTGTAAACACGATAACTTGAGTACCGTTACAGCTAGGTTGATGAAATTTCATATATAAGTATTATATCAAAATCGTAGATCCGTATCAACTTTTGAGCGATTTCCGACAACCGGAAGTGGTACTTTTCCTACTTTGAATTTTTCAAAAGCCTATAACTTGAGTACTATTTCAGATAGATAAATGAAATTTCATATGTAAGTAAAAGATCTAATTCTCTACCTTCTATCAAATTTTGAGTAATTTCCGTTTACCGGAAGTACTAATTTACGCTATTTCCGATTTCTCAAAAAACGCATGTAAATTTATAAAGTACTAATAATATTGCGCACTATTACGCACATTTCGTTTTGGTGCTCGCTTGGTGCGCAATTTTTTTTTTCTATTAGATTTTATTCTATTTTTAAAAGTTTAAGTTAACAAAAATCATGTCTATATTCCGAGTTGACATCCCACGTAGTGTTATATTAGAATACTAGCCGTCCCGGCCAGGCCCTGCTCTGGCTTCTGTGAAAAACCTTTCTGTTAAAGGCCATTACCTGTGTGTTTAGTAATCATCATAAACCCGGCATTGCCCACCCAAAACACAACCAACCAAAACAACAAAACGCAAACATAACGCTAACACAATTACAAATACAAACGAAAACAAAAACCTAACAACCAACCCAACCACAACCACAAACACCAATACAAACACAAAGAAAAAACAAACAAAAAAGCAAACGAAAACAAAAACCTAACAACAAACCCAACCACAAACACCAATACCAAAAAAAAAAAACAACGAAAAAGCAAACGAAAACAAACCAAATCCAAACGCAAAACCAACCAAAAACACAAATACAAACCCAAACAAAAAAAAACACAAACAAAAACGAAAAAAGAAAGAACAAAAACGAACCAAATCAAAATGAAACCACTATCGCAAACCCACCTAAACACAAAGAAAACACTAACGCGAACATAAACGCCCGGGGCGGAATCACCTGTTTTAGCTTAATGAACGACTATAGTACCCCAACTTATTCATAGTCTTTTGCACTCACTTAAACGAACGCGCCTGTTTCAATTTAATGAACAATTTTAATACTCCAAGCTTATCCGTAAAACACCAACAACATTTGCACTTGATCAATCCCCGCTAATTATGTAATTTTTTTTTTCCCAACACCAAAACAAAGTAATTAAAAAGTAAATTATTTTCCACAAAATGCAATGGTTTTATAAAGGGAAGTAATTTTGTTTTCCTAATTTATCAAAGGGAAGTAAGTGCTATAGGACTAAATAAAGACATAATTAGAATTTTTGTAAAAGATGATATTTTTTTTAAACTTGTGTTTAATGAACATGCCGACAATTATTACTATAATTTGAAAAATGAAAATTATTTCCCAACACTTTCAATAGTAATTTTTTAGCTCATAAATTTAGACAAATGCGCACGATAATTTTCTAACACTTAAATTCATCCAAGACCAACGACAAACATATGCATTACATACAGAACTGAGCTTTATATATTAGATTCGAGAAAGTTTAGGGGAGATCACTCCCGGTTTATTTTTCTTAAACAGTTTATCGTCTTCTTTTGTAAAAGTTTTAAGCACTAGTATAACAAGACTACATTTACATATTTTTTCGACTCCCTCATCCCCCTTCCCCGCTGTTATACATTGAGTTTAATTTTATAACGTGATAGATATTGTATTATTTTTGCCATCGATTGCTAAACAAATAGTCGTTGCATTAACACACAATCTCTTTCACATTAAACTACCACACAAACCATTATTATGCCATCATTACCATCACTAATTCACCACTTTAAGTGCACTATAAAAATCATCACCCACTTCACACAACCATCCCTGCACCATAAGTGAACCATTATATAACTTTCAACACAGTTGAACAACTGTAGCATTACATTGTTAGCATAACACATTTGAATGTTTGCTGGAATATTAGGTAAACAGACATTCGCTTCACTAAATTGCTAGGATTATCTACTCTTTTACTGTATATATTCCATCATTTACTGATTCAACAATGCATTACGTCGTTACTATTACACCATCATGTATTCTGGAATCAACAAATAGTGTTCCAACGCCACCACCATAGCAGAACTGTGGCAACGAACAAAACAACGACGCGCTGAAAATGAAGTCCACCAAAAAAAGAAAAAAGGATGATGTATTGACCACACATTCAGAAAGCCGACAACCATAATAGCAAGACAGGCCCTCACCTGGAATCTCCAGAGAAAAGAAAAAGACGCAGACCATAGCTATAGTAAGTTGTGACTTGGAGAGCGAGACAAGGAAGGGGGGTTACCACTAGGGACAGTTAGAGAAATAGTGTGAAGTTACTTGAAGTTTTTGCCGAGGACTTCTGTCCCTTGCCCTAGTGAGACAGCAGCCTAGTTTATAACCAGTTTTTTTTTAACCTATTGTGTCTTACTGTCTTAGTTGTAACTGTCTCACCAATCACTGTCTCACCAGTCACTGTCTCACCATCCACTGTCTCACCATCCACTGTCTCACCATCCACTGTCTCACCATCCACTGTCTCACCAGACACTGTCTCACCAGTCACTGTCTCACCATCCACTGTCTCACCATCCACTGTCTCACCATCCACTGTCTCACCATCCACTGTCTCACCATCCACTGTCTCACCAGACACTGTCTCACCATCCACTGTCTCACCATCCACTGTCTCACCATCCACTGTCTCACCATCCACTGTCTCACCATCCACTGTCTCACCAGACACTGTCTCACCAATCACTGTCTCACCATCCACTGTCTCACCATCCACTGTCTCACCATCCACTGTCTCACCAGACACTGTCTCACCAATCACTGTCTCACCATCCACTGTCTCACCATCCACTGTCTCACCATCCACTGTCTCACCATCCACTGTCTCACCATCCACTGTCTCACCATCCACTGTCTCACCATCCACTGTCTCACCATCCACTGTCTCACCAGACACTGTCTCACCAGTCACTGTCTCACCATCCACTGTCTCACCAGACACTGTCTCACCAGTCACTGTCTCACCATCCACTGTCTCACCATCCACTGTCTCACCAGACACTGTCTCACCAGACACTGTCTCACCAGACACTGTCTCACCAGTCACTGTCTCACCATCCACTGTCTCACCAGACACTGTCTCACCATCCACTGTCTCACCATCAACTGTCTCACCATCAACTGTCTCACCATCCACTGTCTCACCATCCACTGTCTCACCAGTCACTCTCTCACCAGTCACTGTTTCACCATTTACTCCCCACATTCACAGTCTCACCATCTGAATTCTAAAAATCCTAGTCTCACTATTCCCCCTCTCAACCTCACAGGTCTCACTATTTCCGTCTAACCATCCACTTCTCACCAGTCCGCTTCAACACCCCCTCCCCTATCCCCGCCACACACATTCCTTTCAACTGATTTACTACCCACCACTCCCCCACCCCTCCCGCTATCGATTTCCCCATTACAGACGTAATATTTCTAAACCAACCTTTAACCCTCTAGCCCAGGAGCCGTAACAACAAATATAAGACCCGTACATTACTATCTTCCTCTCACACTAGTAATCAGCTACCAAGGGAGAGAATATTTTTAAAAAAATCAATGCGTTTATCGCCCCTGAGTTCAAATGATCTGTTTTCCCCTCGGCTTTAATGTTAGATAAACAATTTTAAAATATATGCATAGGACTACATGAAAAAACAACAACAATAAAACAAAATATGTGCGCAGGACTACATAAAACAATAACAATAAAACAAAAAAATAAAATAAAATATAAAAGAAATGTGCATAGGACTACATATAAAAAAAATAAACCAAAAACAAACAATAAAAAAAAAAAAAAAATTTAGGCTTTCTGATTTGTCTCTCTCTCTCTCTCTCTCTCTCTCTCTCTAGACTCAGTTTGCCAGATTCTCCATTCTCCTCTCTGCTTAACTACTTCCTGTCTGTAGCCCTCCCTATACTCCCCCTCCCCCCTTGTGTCGTATATCCTGGTATGGAAATGAAGACAAACTATTGGCAATTGTACAGTTTTTTATTTTTTATTTTTTTTTTTAAATAGAAAAAAAGATAGGGATCCTATTTCCGAAAAAAAAAAATTATTAGTTTTAAAAGGGATATGTGACAATCTTACTTGCGTTTGGTTCGTTTGACTAAATGCCTAAGTTGTGAAATTAGAGTTGAACGTTAACTTAAACTTCACTGTCATAGGTATAGTCGTTCTGTTGGCTTAAGGTTGTGTTTATCGTTTAAATAAGTTTAGGGATGGTTTAGTATGAGGTGGTTGGTTTATTTTAGGTTAATAGTTATGAATATTTAACTTAGTGGAGTAGGGTAGAGAATCGTGTTAAGGTTAAGATTAGGACAAAATTAGGGTAGGACTAGAGTTAGGGATTGGTTGAGGTAAAAATGGTTAATATGTGTTGATTTGTAAGGATTAGGTCTATCTAGAGGAAGAATAAAAAATTAATTCACAGCCATGTTGAAATTGTCGATTGGTCTAACAGTTTCTAATGTATCTAAATGCACTTTTTAAATTTAAAAAAAAAAGCTAGTGTAAAATCAATTGCATTAAATGCATTTGCATGCCGCATTTTATTCTAGATGGTGGGCGTTAGCTCTTTTTAAAATAAAACAAAAAATGTATGCATAATAGGATTGTATTAATTTGCAGTTATTCTCAGTTCAATCTATTTCGAAAAGGTTCAAAATGAGACACAGTTAAGCAGTCTCAGTCTAACAAAGTAGTAGTACTTTGTTAGTCTTACGACTGGTACTAATAAAGTAGCAATAAGACAGTTTTAACAATAGGACTAATAAAATAGTATTTAACCAGTCATAAAGCTAGTAAAGTAGCAGTAAGCCAGTCTTACGGCTTAGTAATAAAGTAGTAACTAGACAGTCTTACCAATAGTAGTAAAAAAGTAGTAGTTAGACACAGTAGCGTACGCAGGGGGGGAGCAGGGGGAGCGGCCGCTCCCCCTCTGGCCATTTTCAGCAAAATGGCGCCTTTTTGGAAACTTTTTAAACTCAAAGTTTTAAACAATATTTGTTAAAAAAATATTTTTGGTCGGCACATCTCTGTAAATCACATATATTAAGCATTATTGTACTAGTATGGTAGTGTCTACGTTTACAACACGTATTAACAGCTGCATCAGTTTGCCATTCTAAAAATAACCATTACGATGCATTGCAATGTTTAAAAAACCTCTACGGGTAGTACCACTTGGCAAGAGGGGTGTTAAGTTTAAGGCAACTGTATAATGTATTTGCTTACGAATAATTGAATTAGAAAATGTTATACATAAAACTTCACACATAATTATTTTATATATACAGTTTGAATCGTGTGATTAATTTTTAAAAAATTACAATACAGAAACAAATACCACTGATGTGGCACATCTATTTAAATTTACTTATGAGCAAACTGCGTAGTGGTGGGGAAATTTTGACAAGGTCAACAACGTCATCACGATGAAGTAGTAGTATTCTTACAGTTTGGGCGATAGTGATTACGATTACAAATTATATGAAACAGTTACAACCCCCCTCCCCCATGGACCCCTTTGTAAAAAAAATATTGTCATAATACCACTGCTACTTATTTAAATCTATTTCTGTAATATATATTTGTGTAATATATATTTGTGTAATATATATGTATGTTTAGAACAGTCATCTAAAAACTGACGCTATGTTCACTCTGGTGGTTATCCCCCCCCCCCCACCTCACCACCACAATTGTGTAGAGCGACATTAATGTTACACCTAGGTATACACTGGGTTGGATAATTGACCTAAAGTGACCGGACAGTGGTGAATGAAGTTGTTTTTGCAATTACCAGTAAAAAGGTGTGTGACTAATACAGTGATCTAACCCATACCTATCACTATGTTAAAAAAACAATCTTTAAAGAACACAAAGAAGCAGTAGTTAATTAAAGTATATGATCTGAACTTCAAGACCGTTATTTAGTTAAATGTAGGCTGTTATTCCGAATGTTTTTCTATTACATCGAAAAGCGTGGTTTTATACCAACTCTGATTTTAAAAACTTTCATTATGCTGTAATACTTTAGCATTTAAGTTGACGATATATTAAATTATGGTTAGACAGTCATAAAGCTAGTAAAGTAGCAGTAAGCCAGTCTTACGGCTAGTATTAATAAAGTAGTAGCTAGCCTGTCTCACAGCTAGTAGTAATAAAGTAGTAATTTGCCCGTCTCACTGGTAGTACTAATAAAGTAGCAGTAGTAATAAAGTAGTAGTTCGAAAGTCTTACAATTGTGACTAATGAAGTTGTAGCAAGCCTACAACTTCCCCCCTACGACACAGACCACCTACAATAGCCTCTAAGGCATCTTGGTTTCTCCAACTGTCCCCTGTGGTAACCCATCTCCCTGTGATCGCTACACAGTCGGGTCTTGCTTTCCTTTGCCCTGGGGATCTAAATTACGTGAAGGTCTGTCTTGCTATACTGGCGATCGGTTTCATTAGGGTATGGTCGATTTTTTTGCTATTTTTCTAAGGTGGGTCCCTTCGTGTGATGTCATAGCTTCGTTTAGTTAGCTTTTTGGTGCCAGTGTGTGCTGATGGCTGTTGTTTAATTATATTTGCTAGGATAGTGGCAGTGGGTGGCAGTGGATATTGGATAGTGGATACTTGTTTGGTGGATGGGAGATAGTGGGTGCTTGAAAGGTGTATATTAGAATGAGGATGCCTCGTAGGTGGATATTGGACAGTGGATGCTTGATTGGTGGATGTGAGACAGTGGATGCTTGATTGGTGCATATTAGACAGTGGATGCTTGATTGGTGGATATTGGACAGTGGTTGCTTTTTATGTGGATGTCAAACAGTGGATATTTATCCATGTTCCGCTTGTCTTTGTTAATAAAGTTCAATAAGGCCACAATTGCGCCAAAGATTTAAATTTAATCAAATGTAAATTCTAACCGGTTCCTGGTATCTTAGACCTAAATGTAGATAAGCACAGCTTCAATTTGACGATTGTTTTGGCCCAACTTTACTGCCCTAGATTAAACTCAGTCGAAAATGGATACTATATTTAGAATTAAATTAAATTACAGCAACGTTAGATTTCAAACCATTTGAAGTCTTATAATCCCAACATCGAGACAAATGTATTTGATCTCAATACCACGAAATATACCCTTAAGCCTAATATCCGAGTACTCTTTAACCATATTAGCCTTCTCTCCCCTTTACTGTCTATCGGCACGGCGGACGTGAAATCTTATAGCACAGTGACAGAGAGAAGATTTTATTATAAAAATCGCATTACGCCCTAAAGCTTAGATCATAAATCTATCAGCTAGCCTCTGAGGTTTAGAGCCAGGGTTTGATGTGTTTCACTTGGGCAGTGAGTTGTCCGCCAGCATAGATATTAGATGGACAATAGCTTGGTGGTGTTAGGCCTTTGTTGTTAGCCTTTAGCTTTGTAATTATCTTGACTATCAGCCTGGCCAAGCTTGTCTTTTAGCTTTTACTTTTAAAAGTTGGCCATGCTTGACTTTTAGGTTTATCTTAACTTACTTGGCCATGCTTGACTTTTAGGTTTTTCTTAACGTACTTAGCTATGCTTCTTATAGCTTAGTCACAAACTTGACCATACTTGTCTTTTTACTTTTTTCAACAACTTGACCAAGCTTGTCCTTGAACTTGGACATCAGTATGTTCATTAGCTCGGCCATCCCTTATTTCATTAACTTGCTTATCCGCTGCATCATAAGCCGGTCCTTCTGGCTATTATCGTTGTCGTCATTGTGTACATCATCAGCGCAATCGTTATTCACATCATCCAGTCCATTAGCTTCACCACAAACCTTACCATCAACTTAACCTTTATATTTCTACCATTTACATAATTATCTTTGCCATAAGCCGTGATATAGAACACAGATATACCCATGGCCGTTATCTGGGCTGTTATTAGCAATGAGCATGACCAAAAGATTTACGTAGCCTTCAGTCTGACCGTCACATAACCGTCATTCTTGGCCATCACCCTGTAGGCCATCACCCTGTAGGCCATCACCCTGTAGGCCATCACCCTGTAGGCCATCACCCTGTAGGCCATCACCCTGTAGGCCATCACCCTGTAGGCCATCACCCTGTAGGCCATCACCCTGTAGGCCATCAATCTATAGGCCATCAGCCTGTAGGCCATCAATCTATAGACCATCAGTCTATAGGCCATCAATCTATAGGCCATCAATCTATAGGCCATCAATCTATAGGCCATCAGTCTT